ATAGGTGAAGCATTATCAACAAGATCACATACGACCACATGCGTGAAAATTCAAAATGATCTATGCATTTCTCCCGAATTCCTAAATTCCTTAAACAATTGTAAAGAATTTATCATAGATATGCAATCTGAATCGGATTTTGATCTTGGACAATTGGAGCTAATTCATTTCCCTCTGTTAGAAACATTACAATCTCACATTTATCAACGATCAGAATCCCTTGCATTAAATTCCTTATCAAATTTTATTTCATCCTCGAATGCTAAATTATTGAAAGGGATCGATATTCATTTCATATCGAACGATCTCCTAACGGAATCCATAAAGAATTATCTAGGTGTCATTACGCGATCTTGTTCATTATTAGAATACGTCGTGGTATGGGTTAGAAGTGATGTTTTATCGGATTTAGAATCATTCTTGAAGAGGTGTGATCAATTGAAAGAAATCGAATTCGTAGCCGTAGAATTGAATGGTGCATTGGATGCCAAGAATATTTTCGATATTTTGATGAATAATAACTTGCCAAACTTATCAAAGATAGTCTTTAAGGAAAGGTGGAACTTTAATAAAGGTGAATTAAATGAATTTTTAGAGAATTGGAGTAAAAATAAGAAGTATACATTACATTTTGTCAATTAAAAAAAAAAAAAATTTAGACGTTAGATGTTTCAAAAAAAAAAAAAAAATATAAAAAACTGTAATAAAATTGTATTTTTTTTCCTGTATATATATTATATTATTATATTATATTTATTTTATTTATTAAATTGTCAAGAACAGTCGCGTACTTATAACCCGATTTGGTAATAGGTAATGATCGATTTACAGACCAATCGAAATTATTTTTATTATTGATCAAAAAAATGTTCCAGGTTATTGGTATCCTAAACAAATCAGAAAAAAAAAATATTATACTAAGAGATTGATTGATTACAAATTATAAAATACTAAAAAATTAAAAAAAAATTGATTTAACAAATTATCATAATACTAAAAAAAAAAAAATTTGATAAACAAAATGATTTCATATGCTAAAGAATTGATTTTGAATTCAAAAAGTTGGGCTGTTCTCTCTCAAAACTCCACGGTTCACGTATAATTCCAATATATCTCGATGTTCTTCGGTGGGAATACAAGCCTTAAAACGTAAAGGTTCCTTCAACCTTTTGTGACAGCCCCGCAAGAATGAAGCCAAAGATTCCGCAGAAAATGTAAAATGCCATGGAATTTCGATCTTTTGTAGTTTCTCGGGAATTACTTCGCCCATCCTTGTCAAAATATCATTGATTTCGGCGGTATCACTTGGTAAGCTCGCGGAATGAAAGGTCAACTTTTGAAGCTTGTTACACTTGTTGAACAGATTGGGTATCAGCGAAAATTGATCCTTGCTTATGTAATACTCGAAATTGATTAAATTCGGACAAAATCCCATGACGGTCTCGTAGAAGCTCGTCAGATTGTCCGGATCCCTTGGTTCACTCATGCAATTTACGATCTCTGTTATCGAACCACCAGAGTTTTGAATGATCCTGATCTGGTGATTAATCAAGAACGAACCATCTTCGATGTATAAGGACTTTAAGTGAGGAAATTCTGACCTGACGAAACTGTCAGAACTATGGTAATAAAGCGTATGAAGTAACAATCGTTCCAATTTTTTACAAGACGCGAAAGTTCCAAGCGGAATTCCTCCATTACATTGATAACTTAGATAAGTGAGATTTTTGACTTTTTTCTCCAACGCCTTTACGACATAATTATAAATCTTTCCGGAATCATTTCCAAAGTAACTCGTTCCCGATCCTCCATGAATCAAAAGCCTCAACAAACCTCGTTGTGACTCAATGAGCGATGCCAACCCTTTGCTATCGTTACTGAGGAAATGAATTTCTAAATTTTCGATAGAATGACATATGCGTGCCAAAGCCTGATAATATTTTTCTGGTTTTTTGATAGAACTTGCGTTAAAGTGAAACGATGTGATCTTTGACAAAGTTAATTTCGCGCCTGGGAATACAGCCAAGTTACTCTTAATGACAACGGCACATTGTATGGAGATGTTTGATTTCATGTGACTAAGGTATTTTAGGTTTCCGCTTCTTTCCATGAACATCCTCAGGAGCTTTTCTGCCAGGACGCTTACTGGCAGTATTTCCTCCTCCGTATCCGAGTCCTCATCGAACGATTCATCAACGGTTTGATACTGACTGTTCCACATCGATACGGCATTTACCAAGATGGGAAGGTTCAACCTTTCCAAGAAGAAGGGGTAGTCAAAGTATGGGTTGACATCCATTATAAATTCCGAACCTTTGAAAGCCTTGTTCGCTTTCAAACTACGTCTGCTCTTTTCTGGCAAGCATGTAAAGTAAGTTGATATGAGCAGTGGTAATCTATTGGATCTCGTGAAGGTAAATGGGATGAAGAATTGGAAACGTTCTTTCCAAGGCGTGGGTAGTTGTATTTGATTCACCACTTCATCGTGCCTAACGGATAACCAATGTAAAGGATCCTTCCACAGCAAAGGCATCGCAGTATCACACCAGGTTCGATTCACCAAGATACATGAATGAAGATGATTTAGATTTGAATAGATAACTCCATCTTTGCGAGAAAAAGGATCAAGGTTTATATCAATCGTGACAATGTCTTCAAAGATCCTTCTCAGACATTCAACGGGTAATCTTGAAGCCATCGCTTAACTATCAAAAAAAAAAAATACGCAAGAAAGAAAATAAATATTATATACACATTTTTAATCCTTTAGGTTATTTACGATTCGTGAACTCTTTTCTCCTATACGTTATAAATATCATGACACGCGTTTCCTATCCTGATGATTGATACGTAGATGTTAAAATAATATTTCCACGTACCTTTTTTTTAATATTGAAGCTTTTTGAAATGTCCAGGTTTTCTTATTTGAAAGTTTCGCGGCAAAAAAAAAAAAAAAAAAAAAAAAAAAATACGCTTGGGGAGGTAGATATTTATTATGATAAACGCGTCTTCATGTAATTTGTTGCTTTCAAAAATGGTTCGTTTCACTTCCAACCTCGTCAGACGATAAAGTTTGAGAGAGGGAAGAAGAATATAAAATGAGTAAAATCAAATCCGAACATTTTAAATATTTCGTTGTTCCTGAATCAGCACTTTAATCAAATGCCCAATTACTAAAATCGTCAAGAGACTTTAATGGTGGTACTTGCGTAGTAATACATCTTTTTTCTGTTGATCCGATTTATTTCAACAGCGTAATGTTTGATTAACAACACGAACTCATTTTTGACGCGTAAGTACCGACAAATGAGAATCAGGACATGGATGGCGCAGCAGTCTGATTCACGTTACCAATTCTGGTCTAGATCACTGATTTATATTGTAAAAATTTCCTAAATTTCCCGACAAGAATCGTGACACGGAATAAACGTTGACAATTATTGAAATTTTGTAATTTGAAATTCCTTATAAAATAAATCCAAGAAAAGCACTAGTAATAAGCCCTTAATTAAAAATACAACTCCTCCCTGGTTTCAGCCTATTTATAAATAGTTAAATAAAATGAAGATTCATGAATGTTTGTTTTCATCAAAAGACGAATCACTTTTTCCGAAGATATAGTTTGTGAATCATAATAGATTTACTATTCTCTTATCTCCTGCATCAAATAATAGAATGATAGATGGTATATAAATTTTACAATCAAGGAAGGATTCACTTTTTTTAAAATGATTTATATGGTGATCATCACATGTATGATTACAGATTGTTCGTTAGTATTATGTCCATTAGGGTTTATTCGATGAACGGAAATTTAATATTGTACACGTTATGATGTGCAACTTTAAATAAAAGGTTTTTTTGGTTAACCTTTTTATTTTTTTTTTGAGCTTTTCTAAAAAAGGTTGGTGAAATCCTATGTGATTAAATCAAATCTAATCTTGAATAGGCACATTTCGTCATAGAAGTTCATTGTTTGGGTCACGTGCTCATTTTTTTAAAGTTTCGAATGAACAATTTTTTATTGTCTAGATTTTTTTTTTTATTACGTGGTGTATATATCAAAAAAAAAAAAAAGATATATTGGAACAAAAAAAAAAAAAAAAAAATGAATCTACAGATGAAGAGAAAAAATGCGTGAGGAAAAAAAAAAAATTAAAAAATTTAAAGTAATTGTAAACGAAGTTCAGATTTTTTTGCCAAGATTTTATAACGAAAAGGAAATGAATTTTGTATAAAGAAAAAGAAAGAAATGCCTATTTTGTCATAACTTAGAAGAAAAAAATTTTGCCATATATTTGCCATAAGATAATAAGAAAACATTTTTTGGAAACCAGTGAAAAGAAAAACAATGAAAGAAGCAAACTTAGAAAATTAAAAGATATATAATTAAAAATTAATAAAATTTTTGAAAAATTATTGTAAGTATAAGTGTAATAACGAGTTTAGGGTAAGAAAAAAAATGCATATGAATGATGAATATTGATTTGATGCGTGAAAAATTCTATTTTTTTTTTTAAAAAATGCTTGTAACGTATGGTTTGAAAGTTTTGGTTCATCTATTTTATTAAAGAATGGGAATAAATGATGGTATATACAAAAAAAAAAAAAAAAAAAGGAGCTGACGAGATTTTGATCCTTTTAATGGTGACTATGAAAAGGTCCAGCCGAATTCTTTGCAGGCGTTTTTTTTTTTTTTTTTTTTTTTTTTTTTTTGGGGGGGGGGGGGAGAAAAACGAATTGTGTATTGAAAGAAAAATTTTTTAGAAAAAATAATAAAATTTTACAAGAAAAGTGTTGTGCGAATAAACATGAAAAAAAAACGAAAATGTGTGTAAAATTGCGACGAAATAAGCGCGTTTGTTCCCACCCTAAAGCAAGACTTGAAACAAAGACGAATTAATAATAATAATTTTGAACGGAAATTAAATTATCATTAAATATTATCTAACGGAATTAGAAAAAAAATGGTTCATTTTAAATGAATAAAATTAATTTGTTTAATAACTTCGGAGAGCGCCAGCCGGGCTAAGCATTTTATAACCCTCAACTTCACCATCGTATCTGGTTTTCTTTACTGGTCTTCCCAATCGATGAACTCGAAGATGACGACGCATGTTGCTCTGAACAGAGAATTTTCTTCCACAACCTGGTTCTGTGCAAACGAATGGTTTCTCACCGGTGTGTGAATAAGTGTGAATTCGAAGTGAACTTGGACGTGAAAACCGTTTGGAACAATATGGGCATTGATAACGATTTCCACTTGAAGAACCGGTTGGTGATAATTGATCAACGATGTTCTTGTGAGAATAGTGTTTTTGAGAAGCCAAACTTTCCAAAACCGTGTTCAAACGTGGAAGGGAAGGAGCGGTGGGTTTACAATCATAAGGGGACATTTGTGATATGGAATTGGGGTAATAATTGTATCTTTGTGGTTGAGGTTGAGCGTAAGAATGATGAGAAATCGATGATGGTGAATAAGGCGAAGATGAGTAAACTGGAGTTGGTTTAACGCAACAGCTACATGGCTCTTCGTAGACTTGTCGAGTTTGTTGAGGGACGGGAACGTATCTATCGGATTCATATCTTGGTTGAACCATATAAGAATCAAACGGAGAAGAATAATTTGCGGCCGTTTTCATATCAGGTGATTCTGGTGGGGAAAGCAACGTTCTAATGTTACTGGTATGTTGAGAAGTTGCGAGACCGCTCAAATGTAAAGAAGATTGCTTGTTTAGCGCATTGATCGCGGCAAGATGATGTGCATCAGTCGATTGTGGTGAACGGTAAGGTGAGTTCATTGGGGGAGAGGCCGAGTTAGAATAATTTGCGCTATATGCTAAATTAAGAAGAACAAGAAGAAGAAATTAATATTTTAGGTTAAAAATCATTTGAATCCTTTTTTATTTTTTTGAATGGGTCAAAAATACTCACTCTTATCGATTGAAGGTTCGAGAAGAGTACTGATTGGAGGAAGGTAATGTTGATTTTGTTGGTTTTGCATTTTTTATTTTTTCGAAATTCGTTAATTTAAAATTTTTTGTTTGTGAAAGAAACCTGTCTGTGAAAAGATGAGACCGAAAGGAAATTTTTTTTAAAAATGGAAAATACGAAATACTTTTTGTCAATGAATTTTTTTTAAAAAAAAAATTCTTTCTCTCCCTTATATATAAATTATATATACAAAAAAGAAAAAAAAATGTCGAACAATGGTTACAATTTGATAGATAAAATAGAGAAAATAATAAAAACACGATTTTTTTACAAGAAAAGAATTTTTTTTTATAAAATAATATTTCGAATTTTAGCAACAAAAAGATGTTGAGCGTTAGACACTGTTTTGAAAGTGGGTTCTCAACCGTGATATTTATAGAAATTTTCATCCAAAAAGTTTTTCCATCATTAACAAGAATCTTTATTTAGTAAATATTTACTTTTCCTAATGCATATTGTAGATTCTTTTTTACAACAAAAAAAACATCTTTTTTAAATTAATATCAAAATGATCACAATTTTTTACAATCGATTATATAATTACTAATTAAACACACATGTGGTATTTGTCAAAATCGACCATTATATAATACTTGCTATAACCTCTTTTTTTCCCTGACTACTCAAAAGAGTTAAAAATGCATAGACGATTTTAGTAAATAATTTTCAAGGATTTTCATTAGTTATCTTCGGATATTTGATCTACGGAATTTCAAAAAATATATCCACATTTGAAATGAGAAAATCTTTTGAAACCCTTAATTCACGCGCTAAGAATCATTCTAAACTTTAATGATAATAAAAATCCGAAATTAAATTTTGAATCTCTCTGTTGATCTATCTTTATAATTCCTTCTCTTTTATTTGTAATTTCCAGCGGAATTACCGTAAAAGTAGCTTTTCGGTCTTTCCTTGTTTATATGTTACTTTTTAATACCGGTATTTACCGAAAGTCAAGCTGGGCTTAGCTCGTAAAATTACAACGTTTCACAGCGTGGGAATATCTCTTTTTTCATATATATCGTATGAGGGTAATATTTTAATAGTGAGGTGATCATTTTCTAAAAACAAGTGAATAAATAGAAATATTGATCGGAAATCCCGTTGTCATGTGATCCCTCAAGTATAAATATAAACAAACAATAATAGGAAAATTTGTTTTTTTATTTTTGTTATCTTTAAACCATCAATTTTGTTGGAGGGCCTTAACCGATTTTGTTTATTTTATTCATTTAATTTCGGACGATTATTGAATGACAATTTGTTGTCACCTCGTGATTTACATAAAAGAAAAAAAAGAAGAAAAAATTTCCTTTTGAAAGATATAAAAAAACTAATCTATATAAAAGAATAATGGTTTCAAATTGAAAATTTTAATTTACATGAAATTAATTAATTGCATCCTATTATTTATCTATTTTTAATTTAAATTCGGATGCAGTTCTCTTAGATAATTTCTCATCTCATTCGTTGAATGACGATTATCTTTTTTTTTTCTGGGGTGGGTTCTTTTTAGTTTTTTTCTTATGCAAATTGTTTGTTTTATTTTTTCTTATTGTGCGTTTTTATTTTTTTTTTTCTTTTATTTTATTGAATAAAATCTTAAATTAATATTTTATTTGAATGGGTTTGAATGAATAGGGGGTTGTTTATAAAATAATGTAATTATTCATAAGTCTCTGAGTTGATCATCGACTTCAAATCCCATGGATTTCATGAATTTCACATCTATCGTCGCTATCGTCGGGTTTTAAATTTTATTCGAGTTCCATTGAAGGATTTACCGCATCAAAGTTCGGAATTAGAGTAATTCCAAATTTTTTTCTCTCAAATGGGAACCTAAAAAAAAAATCTCTATAACATCAGATACGCCACAAATAATGATAATTCTATGATTTGAATAGGTTTTATGGGTAAAAACTTACTAATTAAGGAATCCGAATCCGAAAGGGATTAGATAATCGCCGATCCCATTAAGTAATTAGGAATTGGGGGTAATATTAATTGCCATCAAGATATTAGAAACAGGAAAATTTCAAGTCATCCGATCAGATTCAAGTGGTTCACACATCATGTAGAAAAGTAAATGTGCGTGCGCAATAAAAACAATTCCCTTACCATCCAATCCAATATGTATTTCATTACCAGTTTATTACCTTGCATTAAAACGGAACAAAGAAATCTAAGGTTCAATGTGGTACAGGCGGGAAATGTGATTAAGAAATCAACTGTTGTGTGTGTATTTATGCGATGTAAATCAAATTTCTTTTTTCCTTTTTTTTTTTATTTTTTTTTATGGTCTGTGTAAATAGATCTACGGGGAAATGGTATGCATTAACGCATGCTTTATAAGAAAGACTTTACCTTTTTAAGGAAAAAAAAATTGCTTGTCATGCTAGTAAAGAAATTCCATAGAATTCAAAAAAAATATCCGTGAGACAACTTTTGACATCCTGCCATATGGGGAAAAGAATTCGACATGATTATTATGAATGGTGATATGTCTCATCATGTCCAATTGTGTTGATAGAAAAATTGCGCACTGATCCGATAAGCCTGGATGTGACTTTTTACGGCAATGTAATGATGGCTGTAAGGTAAATATATTATGTTTCTGCGCTTGGTAACATTTATATCATTGTGTACTTCCCACATGTGCCAAGTGAACATTTCATAAATTAAGGATAAACATAAACTATTAATTATTAATCATCATCCTTCAAAAAAAAAAAAAACGAGAATGATAACGAGACGAGACTCGGGATGAGATTTTAATCCGTTAGTCAAAAAGATTCTTTTATTTTTTTTTTTAAACATATGAAACGCTTTAAAAGAATATCGGATTTACCGAAGATGAAGTGTTACGTGGCATTTTTATATATATATAGATTTTTTTTATTTGTTTTGTAGTGGAAGCAAAACAACCGATAAGATAACAATTGCACTCAATGTAACATTTTATTTTAATGTATAAAGATAAGGATGATTATCAGTCGATTTTAGGATCAAATCGAACCATAATTTTTGGTTCTGGAGAATTAAAATTAAAATAATATAAATAAATAAATGAATACATTTAGACAAGAGGTTGAATTGTTTATGGTTTGTAATTCCAAAATCCTTGTAACACAAATAATTTATAATCTTATCCTCGTGGATTTGTTATTTTTGTTCTTTTTCTATCTGGTATGATAAAAAAAAATTTTTTTTTTTGATCTCAGAGAATATCAGATCTTCTCAAGATTGATCTTCGAGATGTTTATATTATTATAATTTCCGCGATTATTTTTTTATTTATTATTGCTAAAATAATCTTTTTTTTCCATTTTGTGAATGAGAAACTAAGGGAAAATCCGGTACGATGATTCAAACACTCCTTTATGCATACCTTTTAGATAAATAATAACATTTCACAAATTAAATGACTCGTTCTAACGAGGAAACGCAAAACATGTAATAGAACTCGGAAACTCGTTCGATCGAAAATGATTAAAGAAAGATTTCCCTTATTTGTTAGTTATGATATAATCTTCGGAGTAACGTCAAAAAAAAAAAAAAAATTGATGCTCGTTGCTTAATAAATAACCTATCCTTTGTATGGAGGATTTTTTGATTGCTTCCCAAAAAAAGCAAATAATTATAAATGATGGATTAGTTGATAAATTTCATAATCTGCTGACAGTTTTTCATTTTTTTTTTAAAACAAAGAGAGGCCTAGATCATATCTTATAGATAAGTATATGGAACCAACAAAAAAAAAAAAAAAATGAATAATCATGACGAAAATATAAATTCTGTTGCGAAACTTCATTATTTAATAAATTATAAATTACCGGTGATATCAGATTTGCATTTTTCCAACCAATCAATTCAAAAGGTGATCATTCATATTTGGAGCACAGCTTTTATTGGTCTGACCATGACGTTGATGTCGGTTCATTTTCCAACCGAACCCTGCTTAAGTTAATAAGTTTTCATTTAGGCAATTTCCGAACATTACCAAATAAGAAAGGATACGAAAAAGGCCAAGCCTCCCTGGGTTCTTTCGCGGGATTTTGAAAGAACCAAATATATCTTGGTTTGGGTTTTTTTTTGTTTTTTTTTTTCAAGACATGAAAATCTTTTTGAGATTATCATTATTTACATTTTTTTTTTAGTAGCACATTTGGTTATTTACTAAAACTCTTACTCAGCCAAATTAAGCCGGTTTATCCCTTGAAAAAAAAAAATTTCTTGAATGAACTCCCTCGATTTTCGATGCAATTTAAATTTTACACGTCACAGATTGTTGAACATCCAAACAAATCAATTTATAATTGTTCAAAAAAGGAAAACCAAAAAATTGTTTTACCTTTCACCTCCTATGGGGTTTTGTTTTTCCTATCAAGAAATTTTTTCATTAAACAAAAATTGTCTGGATCATAAATCGATCCAATTCTTTTTACCAAAAATAACTCAAAGTAAATAATAATTTTTCATTGAAGCGTTATCACGAGCGTGTAAATGATTTTCCCTCGTATCATGAGCAAATTTGTGTTATTTTTTTTTCTCACCTTTTGATGCATGCACTGCATCATCAACGGCAATTCAATTCTTATACAATAAAGGGTATACAATACGAGCGAAAAAAATATTTTAAAATGAAGAGATTTTGGACGCGTTGATAAAAATTAGATGGAAATTCCGTCAAATTCCAGGTTTCTTCTATTTACTTTTCTGAAATTAATTCTGGTTAATTATTAATATTTAATCTAATAGAATATAAACATAATTATTTGATGATAACCAAATATTTGTCAATAAATTAATCACGAAAATACAAAAAAAAAATAAAAATATATATAACTTACTACCGTTAGTTACACTTAAATATGAAATATGATAATTTAACAAACCAATTTACTTTTCGGTGGCAGCGTCATCAATTAACAACATACCCGTTTAATATAATTTTTTCCTTCGAAAATTCGTGATACAGAAATTATTAAATAAGGTAATTAAAGATATTTATAATATATAGATAAATGGATAAACAAACACATCATTCAAACATATCTCGTACCAAGAAGAATTAAAAATGGGAATTCAACACTTTCTTATTTTTTTTTTTATTTTTTTATTTTTTTAAAAAAAAACACTATCCGAGAATAATAAATGTAAACATAAATAACATTAATAACTGATGTTAATAAAGTTGATTGTCTTTTTTTTTAATTGTTTTTGTTTTGCCTAAAGAAAACTTTCTACTCGGGTTATGCAAATTCTTAAAAGTGCTCAAACTTATTCTTAATAGTTACCCTGTTCATAACTTTCGAATAAAATATGAATTGAATAATTGTAATGTATATTATATTAATTTCTTTTGATGATGAATTCTATAGTTCAATAACGAAATTTGAATTTCAATGTTACACTAATGTCGTGAGCCAATCAGAAAATTCATTTATGTCAAAATTTTTTTCTTTTTTACAAAAAAAAGGTTCTTTTCGTTTCAAAGATGTTTGATTATGAAATCTACATGTTAACGGCTCTCGCATTTTTATTCGTTTTAATTTATTTTTGGTTAAGTGAAAAGCAAGAAAACATGTAGCGATTTCTCATTCCATCAACTATATTCTTTAAACTTCCCAATTTTCAAAAATAAATCATTTTTCATCTTCCTTTTTATTAGAAGAATCATTTCTGCGCCAACTAACGGTCATGATTTTTCTTACACTTTCAAATTTATTAGCGGCACTTTTATCGGAATTCGAACCACCAATAGTTTGTGACGATTGATAATTCGCGTTTGACGATGGTGAGGGATTGGTAAACAACGTGGGAAATGATGAAGGTAACGATGGTGCGATAGATTGTGATATGTTGATTGATGATAATATATTTGAATTTTCGGATAATGTTGTATCATCTGCTACCCGTTGTTGAAATTGTTCTATCAACTGTTGTTGTTCATTTCTCCTTAATCCCTATTCAATGTGATGAAAAGCATTAGGAAATTTCAAATCTTATGAAAATATAAAGTTATCAAAAATTATACCTTAAGTTCTAATATTTTTTGGAAATTATTAATGTTCTTGTCACCAATTAATAAAATATAATTTTCGGATAATCCTTCAGGAGGATCATGTGGTGTAAGAATCATTTTTAATATAGCTTCAATTTTACCAATTCCTTTATTTACAATTTTGGTAAACCTATTGAAAAGAAATTATTCTCATTGTTCCTTTTATTTTGCTTTAAAGACTCATTTAATCTTATTAATCGGGATGATAATACGTACGTTGTTGGTGGTGGCGCTGGATTTTCCATTCCCATAGTTGGCATTTCTAATATAGACGTTTTCAGCGCATGAATATCAAGTAACATCTGTAATAAATCAATTTATTAATAAGTTTCTCATAAATAAATATATATATACAGTATGTATATATTATTGTTATTTTCTTGCCTGTTCTGCCCCGACTTCAGATATTGGTTTACATTTTGACAAATTATTTATAATTTTTGATACAAAAGACCTATAAAAATTATATACCTTTGTTTAATATCAATTTTTTTTTATAAAAATACCAATTTTTTCGCTTACTCCACGAATTTATCACAGAAGGATCTAAAATAACGGTTATTGGTAATATCTTTATGTACGCTAACAACACAACGTGTCAAGTTATTGTGAAATAGAGTGACATATTCGGACTGGTCTCCAACTGATTCTAAATTATTCCAGGATATTTTGGTCATGGTTGTTAATGCCGGTTCGTAACAAGTTTCAATCCCTCTCACTAGAGCCTTAATTGATATAGTTACAACGCTAAATTGAATTAATTAAATTATGGTCAAATGAAATCATCATATTTGAAAATACATCAACTAATTATTATTGGTTTTTTTTTTTTTTTTTTTTTTGATATTTGGCCTTACTTTAAGAAACAATCTCGCTCAAAGTCCAAATTAATCTTATCTTTATACTCCTCATGAACCTTTTCTTTTAATTTATCTTCTAACTGATGAAATATAACAATTTTAACAAATTCAATAAACCGATACAAAATTATTAAAATGCTTACTTGCGGTATCGTATTATAACAATAATCTGCCGTATTCAAAATTAAACAAATTAATTTCAATTCATCACGCGTCATAGCTCGACGTTCTTCCCTATATGAAATATAAAAATGTTCAATTGTCTATATACTCTTTTAAAGAATAATGAAAACATGCATAGATACAAACTTTGGCAATTTTCCAATTAAAACCTCATTGGCATATGTTCGAAGCCATTTTGAAAAAACGATACACAAATCATAGAAAGGCTTACGCGTTGATAACTTTGAACAATTAACCAATGTTTCTTTATAATATAAAAACAAATCTATACTGGATTGCAAGACAGATGTTGAATTATCGTCATCAGGAACTGCCTCCATACGATAAGTCGAAATAATTTCTGCCATATTCCTTTTTTTTTTAAAAAAAAAAAGATATTTGTATTTAATTTTAACGAAAGTTAAATGAAGATTCAATTTTAAACGCGTACTTGTCTTCGGCATCAATGTACAATCCAAGATAAGGTTCAAAGGCTATCGAAATACTTTTATTAAAATTATATTTTAATGAAGTATTTTCCGTATGAAGTGGTTTTTCCTATATTCAGTATTCATCAATACTAAGATTTTAAATTAACAAGTGATCATATATTTTGAAATATCTACCATATATGCGAAACGTTTTACTAATTGATTTTCGAATTCAAGTGTCAACTGTAAATTCTTGAGTAAATTTTTAACATCCAATTCGTTTTTAGCTCGAGAAAGCGATTTAACTAAATCTTCCCTTTAAAAAAAAATAATAATAATAATTAAATTTTTAATATTTTTTAACAAGTTAATTCATTAAAGTGAATTAAAAGAAAACATTTTTACCCAGTTAATTCACAAAATCTGATACAAAGAACTTCACTAACATTCCAATGCAAAGGAAAAATATCGGCATGTACTTCATCATAAGTTTTCAATACTCTTTTTATCCATGCATACCGTCTTGAAGTATTATCAAGTGACGCAATCTGGTTGAAGAGGTAAATTTAGCATTATAAAATCTTTTTTTTTCAAAAATATATTATTTTTTTTTTGAATACCTCCTCGCTTCCTCGAAATATCCTCTTATATTCTCCTAATTGTTTCTCACAATACCAATTTATAAGGTTGTTTCTAATAAGGAAGGAATAATTTTGAAAATTTCCTAATTAGAAATAAATTCCTTTTCTCAAAACATCTTTATAAAAAATGTCTTCTTACTTTACATCTTGTCCCATAATATCTATGACTAAACAAGCATCGCCAAGGAGTGCAGACTGATTCGAAAGACTCCCTTCCAAAGCAAAACTAAGTGATATGTAAATATGTTTAATGACTGCACTAAACCCTAAAAATATTTCCCTAATATATTTATGCACCTTGATTCAAAATCTTCAAATATTTGTTTTTTTAATTCATTTTGAAAAGTGGCTATTGAAATTGATAATTCAGCTATTTGTTTAATACTCTTGTATGATTTGAAATATGATGCAAGTTGCAAAACTGCCTATGAAACAAAAGAAAATACAAATGTTAATTTTTTTAAAAAAGGAATAAAGTTTAATAAAACCATGATAGCTTACTTGTAAAAGCTGTGAGGTTTCTTTGTATTGTTTCATCTTTGCCATAACCTTTAATTGATCCACTGCAGTAACTATGAAGCGAGAGATATATATTTATTATCTACCACAGAATTATTTATATTTTTTTTTATTATTAAAGATTATTACCTAACATTTGTAACCTTTTTAAAGCAGTAATTGAAGTAGTTAAATGTCTTTTTGCAAAATCCAGTGACTTGATATCTTGAGTGATCTCCTGTACCATGATTTCAGATTGGGTAGCTTTTTCTTTAATTTGTCTAATTCTTTTAAATAATTCCTATTATACTCCATTACATCAATTAATCATTATCAATCAATAAATATTATCAGACTATTTAAATATTCACCTCAATAGCTTTTTTTGCTTCGGCTACTTCTTCGTAACCTTGCTGACCTCCATTTGTTTGTAATCTAGTATGTTCCTGAATTTCCCCTTCCAATTGACGCATTTTATACTGAAGCCGTTTTGTCGTTTCATCGATTGATGCCAATGCATATTCTTTTTTTTAAGAAAATTTATAATAGTTCTGTTAAAATTAATTTATTTCAAAAAAGGTTTATTTATATTTACCGTTAGGAAGCATTTGATTAATATATTCGATCGGAATAAAATCATTATTATCTATAAGATCGTTAGTCTGTAATATTTCGCTAATCGAATTTTCTAATTCTGGTGGAAATTTAATAATGTCGCTATTAAAATCTTCTTGAGGTAAATCATCATTGTCTTTATTTGATAACATTTTCACGAAACTGAAATTAATTTTTTTTGTAGATCATATTCTTTTTTATTTATTACTAGCATGACACACATTTCCAAATTTAGTGTAGATGTAGATTCAAAAAAATGTCTTCCAGCGACACTTGTAATCATCCTCGTGTAGGCTTAGGTGTTTTCGTTGTTCGTGATAATAAATTTCTCCTTGGAAAGCGAAAAGGAGCTCATGGCGCCGGTGAGTTATTTTTACACGAGAAAACAAATTTAATAATATTATTATTATATGATAATGTATTTTTTGATATCTTTTTAGGAACTTGGCAACTTCCTGGAGGTGAATGATAATCTTCTTTCTTACAATAAGTTATAAATATAGTCATTAATGCAACAGAATTTTCCTTGAAGGAAGCTTGGAATTTGGTGAATCATTCGAAGATTGTGCAGGACGTAAATAAATAATTATTATTCTTATTATTTCTATATCTTTATTATACTTGAGAATAATTTATTTTTATAAAATTAGGCGAAGTGTTAGAAGAGACAAGTCTTAAGATAAAGAATATTACATTTCAAGCAGTAACGAATGATCCAATGCCTAATGAAAATAAACATTATGTAGATATTTTTATGAGGGCTGAAGTAGTAGATGGAAATGTAGAACCTGTGGTAAATGTGACAAATCATAATAAATGTTACAACCTGTTTATTGATGAATCTTTAGATTAACATCAATTTTATAAAAAAGGTGATGGAACCACTTAAATGCGAATGCTGGAAATGGGTAACCTGGGATGAATTCATTAAAGGTGGGGTTAACGGCGTATTTGAAGATAAATTGGTGAATAAATATAGACCAATGTTTCAACCAATGGAAACCTTATTAAATAAAACCCCAACTATGAATCTGTTTGTTAATTTATAGACTTCTACTAAATGCATGTATAATTCTATAGTAATCAATAATATCATTTTGTGATAAATATATATATCATTCTTGGTTCTTGGTGCATTTATTTTACGATTCAAGTTGAAATATGAGTATTTCAAAAGTGTTAAAAAGATGAGAAGATTATGTTTGATTGCTCTTTATCTTATCTCGATAATACAAATTTATTTCTCTTGCTAATACTTTTCGTCCACAACTCTTTCTATAATTATAGCATGATATATTTAAATATTCTCTCTCAAATGAAATAAAGTTCCACACCAGCTTTCTTATTAGAATATCTTGATTCCCATTTAGCAACTCTCCAATCTTCTTCATCTCTAATAGCAATAATAACTTCCGCCCCATTTTTATAGGATAACCGGTCAGAATTAAGATGAAACTTAAATTTTTCTGAAATTGTTTGTATTAATGCAATCAGACTAATGTCTTGTGGTACGATAACTCCCCCACGTTCTACATACATGAAAAATTTCACATATATCTGTAAAAGATAATTTTTCATCTTACCTAAATAAATAATAAATATTTTAAATATGGATCGAAAAGAAGAGAAACGTTACCTTACCTCATTATCATTAATTGAATTAGCAGTATCGTCCTAATAATGTCCATTTTTACAAATTTATTAAAGTGAAAAATATATCTTTCATTTTTCATTTATAATCATTAGCACTAATACTCATACCTGGAAGCTCGATATTTTGTAATTAGTTAAAAATATGCTAAATCTATACTTATCAATAATTTCTTCAATCGTAGTCAAATACCCAACGTGAATATTATTACGTGGTATAATGATCAATGCTGTCGCCTTTTCTAACAAACCATTGGTTGGATCTCCTTTTACTTCAACGAGGTTTTGATAATACTTTGTCAAATATAAAAGAGAAAGATGGTTGGTTTTGATTTGATGAATTGAAATGAATTATTTAAACATTTACCCTTCTGTGAAAGTTAGGTACGAGAGAGACTTCAAGTTCTTTGTATTCTGCAATTCTGAATCCTGTCAGCTATAAAAGATTTATCTTTGAGAAAATTACAATAAATAACTTAATGGGGGCCTTAAGCTTAATATACCTGATCGAACGGGATGAAAATTTCATCCTTTAAATCGTTCAACCACAAGCTCATTTCTTTAGTAGATTCATGAAAACGTACAGCCATTCTTCCATCAGTAAAATAATCAAGAGAGCCGGTTGTAGGTAGGATTTGGATCTTTTTACAATCCATACGATGATATCCTTTGTGCTTATCTTTATTAAGTGTTGTTGAACCTAATATTTGTTAAAAAAAATTATTTATATACGTGTCTTATATGAAAGGTTATAAAAAGTTACAACTAAAAAAATCGTGTAACAGAAGAAATAATGATTTGCCTGATATTGCGCCTTTGCTACTAGTGCTCGCACTAGTATAACTTCTTCGGTCACTCATAATTAATATATTGACAAAAGGAACTTGAGAGAAAGGAATGATTGTTCATTTTGAAAATTTCATCTTTTCACATGCCATGCATATTATGCAGATCAGGCTGATAATTATCAAAATAATAAATAATTGCTGTTGTTAAACTGTATGACAAGACTTATACATCTTTATAATCATAAGATTTGATTATTAAAGATGAATTAGCAAGCTTACTTTAACTTGAATCTAATTTATATAAATACTAAATTTTAATTTATAATGAATACACTTTGCTATATATTATTTTACTTTTAGAAATTATTTTGAATAATATTATTAATAAAATTATAAAATAATAATATTAAATTATTAAATAAAAATTAAATAATAAAAAGTAAAACTTGAAAAAATTACAGTATATTGAAGTTTTATTAAAAAATCAGCAAAATTTAATAAAAGATAAATTATATTAAAATTTAAAAATTAAATAATTAATATATAAAAAAAAATTTCTAATCTTAACAAATCCAAAAGAAAATTGTATGATTATTATGTGTGACTTAAGTATATTATACTAAAAAAAATTTTTAATAACAATGTATATTTTATTATAATTAAATAAATTAATTAAACAATATATATATAATTGATATAAAGCTATTCTAACAAATGAGTTTTTTTCCTAATTCTCTATAGTAGAGCCAATTTGGGGGTTCTGGAATAAAATCGAAACAATACCCAAAATAGATCTCCAAGCCTTTTTCCAATCAATTTTAGCTATATGAATCAACTATAGTATTAAAGCTTCTAGCCAATTTTAACTCAATTCTAGATGATGTTATCGAACTTGACTAGGAATTAGCCTGTCTGATAT